TCCAAGCAGCAGGTTGTAAGTCCAAACAGTGCATATCAGTCATAAGTCTGAACAGCTGTCAAATAGGTAGGTCATTAAATGAGGAATATCTGTATGGTATAGATGAGGTAGTCTCTCCATTGTTGACATTCATGGGGTTGATACAGGAGAAATATAACTCCCAACCTGCTAGATGTCAAATGTGCCAAGTTCGTGTCCCTTGAAATCAAAGAATGAATTCCAAAGGACCAAGGAGGTTAAGAGTAGGAAAGGTTTATTGGGGAATAGGAATAGCTCCTGAGAGACAGGAGGGGTCCTGAGTGGGTTGCTGCCAAGCTCATTTCTCTGAGAATGTTTTATAGGGCAAAATCATGAGGTGGGTACAACATGAGTCAAACTATATTCAACCAATAAGTTTATAAGTATAGCCACTTAGCTAATATTGATCCAGTACAGAACCAAGGGACACAGCAAGGGTCTATGGATGACATCGTTAACCTTGGCTTATCTATGACTTCTGAAACAAACATTTTGGGGAATGGATGAGCCCAGGTTTTTGGGTCACTCATCCAAGTGTCTGATGCATATCTGGTTTTAATGGACTGGGTGGTACTGATTACAGTATAATCTCAAATTTCCATTCATTCCTTAGGGAAGTATGTAATCTGGCCATTGTGATTTTAATCTCAAGGCCTAGCCTTCAGATGCGCCTCTAGCCAGAGTTCTGATGTCTCCACCTTTCATTGACTTCCTTGGGAGCCCAGTCCCTTTCTGACTGTATATTAACTTTATCTTTAGCTCCCTAATTTAGCTTGGGTTTTAATTTGTACCAGCACTCATATACAGATAGTTCCCAGTTAATAAGCACACATTTAATGACTCTAAAGTCAAATGGTCCTTCTTGGAAGACTAGATCAAAAAACATCCAGCCATAGTGATAAGAAACCTCATCAAAACAATGCAGCCCTCGATGGGTATATTCTTGTCCTCCTCTCTCTGCTTCCTGGATGCCAGAGATTCAGCAGCTTTCCTCCACCATGCCCTTCCACTATGCCATTTCCACCTTGGTTCCAGCCAACAATGGACTGACTCCACTGAAACCACGAACGAAGACAAATCTTTCCTCCTTTATGTTGTGTTGGATATTTTTGTCCCAGTGATGGGCAAGTGACTAATACCATATCATCCTTCAGAATACACTATTGACCAATCAGACTGGACAGGCTGAAGCATGGATGAAGACCTGGGTTTGATCCCTGGCACTGAAAAAGAATTAAACAAAATAAAACAAAATCCAGAATGGATGGTCTAAAAAGAACCACAAGAGCTGCTGTACTGGTGCAAGCCAGCTGAGTGCCAATACCAGTTTAAAAAAGTACCAGAGAGTAGACAGTCAAACCTCAGCCTCCCTCCCATTCCATTCTCTAGCTTCCGGAGCCAGTCACTTCTACCAGCAAAAGAGATTTTTGTAACAGGACAAAGCTAGATTTTTGTCAAGAAAGAAACTAATTTTCTAAATTCTTTTATCTTCCTTTTAAACATATTATGTGACCTAGTGGACTTTACTGAAAAATTTGCATACAAGAGTGCCCAATCATCAATAAATGGAAAGGGGAAATGTCTATTCCTTATAGTTCAAGGGACTGTGGGAAAGGAGAGACAACATTGGTGCTTCATTTCTAGAGGGGAAAGGAGTAATAGGTTGAAGAGTATGCCGAGGGCAAGAGAGCTGGAAACACATGGCATTATAGGCTGTTAAGAACCAACCCAGGGCCAGTGCTTAATGTGAATTCAGTGATGTGAAATGTTTAAATCCAACCAATCTCTCTTGCAAGGTGGTAGAGGGAGAGCCCTAAGCAATGTTAGGGACAGTAGCTGTGTCGAGAGCCTGGGGCCAGCTAAGAGACCTATCATGTTGATGGTCATGGGACTGGAAGATGATTACAGGTTGGATGCAGAGGGCTCCATAGTGTTAGTGAAGCTTGAAGAACTAGTGTATACTACAGGGCCCTCCCTGGTGCATCAGAGACAGGTTGGAACAGTCTTCCTTTGTAGATTCCAGTAACAGAAAGCCCAGACTCACTACATCTTAAGGATCTGTTAAAATTAGTCTTGTTGCAGAAAAATCCAGCAAGACTCCACAAAAAGAATTTGCAGATTTTAGGACCCAGGTACCCCAACAATGTCTCAAGTTCGTGTCAGATACTGCCGTATGTCATTTTCAGGGGAGCAGACTGAACCGCCGTATGTCATTTTCAGGGAAGCAGACTGAAAGGGACTAGGTTTTTCAACTGTTTAAGTTATTGCAATGGTTTATCAAATTGGTCTAAAATTCAGAGGTTTCCTCCCACTGTCCAGAAGCTAAGGACATTTTATTTCCACAGCTGAATGTTTTTGAGTTAATCTGTGACATTCTTATGAAAAAACCCAGTGGCTTTTCATATGGAATGGTGCCAACACAGAAGAGGGTGTCATTTGGTAATTATGGCTTTATGTTTTTAAGCTTACCTCCCAAAGGTTAACCACATTTTCCCCAAAAATTATTGATGGATTTTTATATATTGCCAACTATATGCTTATATGTACACCAAATTACTTCTTAGACTATAAGGCCAGATATAAGTATGTTTGGATTAGGCATGAGTAAAGCCGCTCTTTCAAAGAATTAAGCAAATAAAATTAAAGCCAAAAATTAATGTGCTTAGGGATTCCCAGTGTACACAGGGAAACACTACAGTATAGAAAATACATTTTATTTCCTGAAATAGTCATAATGAGTGGAGTAAAAATTGATATCAAAACAGCAAAATTTGGAAGCTTACAACCATTTTATAAGGAAATTTGAAAAGCACCTGGACTATTGCAATTAGCTGCCCCTCCCATCATGTGCTTTTTCCCCTAGCAAATCTAGAAAGCTAAAATTAGCTTTCCTGACCTGGTTCCACTGTGCTTGCTGCTAAGGGGAAAAACAAACACAGAGTCTTGTAGTTTGGTAGAAGAAATGATCTATTCATCAGACTAATAATTATCCGAGCAATCCTTGTTTTAAGATGCAAAGATCCATTCATTTCATAAGGTTTTAAATCCGAATTCCAATCATCCTATTTCCTATTATTACAGTAACTGTTAATATAATATTTAATACTTTGGCAAATATCATTTTTGTTCTCATTTTGATTTTATTCAAGAATGTAAACTAGTTGGCAGCAAAATTTCAACTGCTATATATGCTGTATGTGACATCTGACTAATACCAAGCAGTGCTGTCTAAAGAAAAACTGTAAGGCTGTGATGTAGCTCATTGGAACTGATTGTCTAGGATGCAAGAGGCCCCGGGTTTGATCCCAAGCAACACACACACACAGCCAAAACTAAATCAAACTTAAATTTTTTTTTTTTTTGAGACAAAGTCTTGCTATGTAGTTCAGGTGGGCCTCCAACTCACAGCGATCCTCAGCCTCCTGAGTGCTGGGATTATGGCATGCGCCACCACACCTGGCTCCAAACTTAAAATGTTTAATTGGCTTTTATTTGCAGTTTGAGATTTAGGCAATACCTCACTCCATACAATGGAATGAGTGATCTGATGAGCTGATGAGAAGGGTTTGGTTTTATAGACAGAAAAAATCTAAGAAAAGTACAGTGGACCCTCAAGTTATGACAGGCCTGACATATAAACAACTTGAGTTAATTAGGTTAATGGAAGATTCATCTTCCTCTTGTTATCTATATCATGTACCAAGGTAAACATCCAGATTTCAGCTGTAATGATTTATAACCAATTTAAGTTACAACCAGCCCTCAGGAACCAATCGAGCTTGTAAGTCAAGGGTCCACTGTAAAAAATGGATTGGGCCTTTCAATGTTATTTTTCTTGTAAAGTTTAAAGCAGAGACTTCCTTATATTTTGCAGGCTAAAAATGACTTGCTTGGGAATTTGGGTATTCTACTTCCTGATTTCTCTCAAGGCCAGATAAACATGGTTTCAGCTTGAGGTGTGCAACTTAGCATGAGTGACTCCATTTTGGTGTGGCCCAATGGGCACGAGCTCAATGGCCTCCTCTCAATTTTATATATGAGGGTTTTTTTTTTTTGGTACCCGGGATCAAGCTAGGTTCCTTGTGCTTTGGAGGCAGGCGGCGGAGCCACTGAGCTAAATCCCCAGGCCCTCTCTCAATTTTATTTAACAAGGCCAAGGACAATGTAGATGTTAAATGAGAGAAATGCATTAACTAGTCCTTTAAGTGGCCTTTATTTATAATACATTTAGACTATAGTTAAACACTTTATTTTAGGACTACAATGAAACAATTTGTTTCCTGAAGCTAGTTGAAGATACTGTTTCATATTTTCTTTACTTTTTTATCGTTGTGTAACCATCTTACAGATTCATCAACTTCGTCGATCTATCTGGGAAGTAAGGCCCCATTAAAAAAGACATTTTAGCGCCGGGGGCTGGTGGCACATGCCTGTTATCTCGGGATTGGGGAGGGGAGGCAAGATTGCTGAGAGTTCCAGGCCAGCCCGGGCTACATAGTGAGTTCAAGACCAGCCTGGACTACACAGCAAGACCTTACTCAAAAAAACTAAAAAGGTATTTTATTATATGTGCTACCGAAATGCGGACAAACACTAAAACATTTGCTGAATAACCCGTAGTGAACGCCTAGGTACAGGTTTCTCATTTTCCCCCCAAAGATAACATAAACCAATCCCCTACCCAAACAAAAGACAAAAGGGCTGGGGATACAGCTCAGGGGTAGAGGGGTGAGTTTAACCCCCAGTACAGGAAACAAAGACTAAGCTCAAAACAAAAACAGTACTATTGAGTGGAAGACCCCATGTGTGAATGTGATAGCATATTTAAGCTTCAGTTACGTTGTGATTTAAGGCATAAATTGAAGCTCTTATTTTTAATTTCCCCTCGGTTAAGGATTAAAATCCCACAATAAATATTACTTCTTTCATAGCACATCTTGACAAGAACAAAACATTCTGGAAAGGGCAAATAGCGAAGATCAGATCTTTGACAGGAATATTTTGCTGAAAACTGCAGACTATTTGACAGGGTTGGGAATAAGAAACGGGGTCCCCCTCCTGTGAGGCCGGGAGAGGGCATAGGTAGGAAGGCGGGAGCTCAGCTGTGACGTCACAACCCGCCCGGGCGCCGCGCCGGTTGCCATGGAGACCGCCCGGCCCGCCCCCCCCGCGCGCTCCGGCCCGGGTGCCAGCGGGCCTGTTGAGTTTGCTGACCCGGCCGGCAGGGTGCGGGCGGCAAGATGCCACGGGAGAGCGGCTGGCGGAGGCAGTGTGATCCCGGTGCCCCATGAGCCTCAGGTGCGGTCTCGTTCCGGGCCGAGGAGTGCTGCGCACGCCGCCTTCCCTTTTCCCGGGGCCTTGGTGGCGAGGGCAGCAAAACCGGACTAGAAGCCCGACAGAGGCGCGGGCCCACCTCCCTACCAAGCCGCGACGGAGAAGCAGCTCGACCCACAGCGCCGCCGCGGGGTTCCGAAGTGAGGGGCCACGGCCGCGGAGGGGGGGCGGAGGCCGGCGGGTCCGAAGGACGCCGGGGTGCAGCCTGCAGCCCCGCCCGGAGCTAGGGTCGGGAGCGGGCTCGCTACGGAGGCCGGGCCGGGGACGGGTGGGGGCGTGGTCGGTGAGAGGAGCACGCCCTTGGCGTACGCCCGGCCTGGGTGGAAGGGAAAGGGAGCCAACCGCTCGCCGCCTGCCAAGCCCCGCCTCTGCACTCTGCCCGGGGGGGCGGGGCCTGTCCTCGCCAGGCTAGCGCGGGCGCGACGTCTCGCGTTCGACCCCGCCCCCTGTCCCGCCCCCTTCCTGGCGCGCGCTGCTTCCTGAGGAGATTCCCTTCCCCCTCTGCGTTCGCATAGGGAGTCGGGGCCGGGCCGCCGCCACCACCTCGGCCGCTACCGCCACCTCGGCCGCCGCCATCACCTTGTTCCCCACCCCTCGCTATGGCTGAAGAGCTCTCCGCGGCCACTTCCTACACCGAAGACGATTTCTACTGTCCCGTCTGTCAGGAGGTGCTCAAAACGCCCGTGCGCACCGCGGCCTGTCAGCACGTGTGAGTAGACGTCGCCTCCCCCGCGCGGACCCGGGGGCCCCGCGCCGACCCCGACCCCGACCCCCAGCCCGGGCCGCGGCCTGAGCGGAGCCGACTCGCTGCGGCCGCCCGAGCGCCACCCTCAGGGCCCGCTCCTGCCCCTCTGAGCCTAGCCGCCTCCCCAGGGCTCCGGCCCGCGCCCCAGATCAGAGTCCGGCTTCCCCGCTGCGTCCGGGCCCCGCGGCCCGCGCCGTCTCCGCCAGGCCCGGCCGTGTCGCGGGGACCCGGGAGCCTTTGTGTTTCCTAGCAACCCGGTGAAGGCTGAGGTGTCGGGTGTCACCCCGCGGGGCACCGGTGCTCGCAGGCCTGCCCCGCTGTGAAGTTTTCTTCTTTCAGAACCTCGGTCCGTCCCTCCCGGATCCCAGAGCTCGTAATCTAACCTTCCAACCCTGCCTCGCAGACCAGCCGGGAATGTGTTGTTAACGTATTGTAAAGGTCTAGGCAGAGTTTTCTTCTTTCGCATGTGAGGCTGACAGGATTTCCGGATATTGAAGTGTGATAGTTTCCCTTTGTGTTACCTTTCTGTTTATTGTTACCCCGTTACAGCAGGAGTGGAGGTAAGGAGTTCTGTCCTGAGCACTGGACCAAGATGTGGCCCTAACTCTAGGGTGGAAGAGAACACAAAGGGCCTAGGGGAAGTGACATAGCATGTTAAGAAGAAGAACTTGAACATTTTGTAGGATGTCAGTGTCAGTAATGGCTGAAAGGAGACCTTCTTAAAAAGGTCCTGTAAATTGCAATTCTGATAAACCTGGCTGATGACCAGAGTCCAGGGGGAACTTTCAAAGTAAACATACCAATTCCCAGGCTCCATTCCAAATTCACAAAAGAATTTCTGGCAGGTGGGGCCTGGAAATCTTTATTTTTCAAAAACACATTTGGTCTTTAAAGTTGTGCTTGCAAACAGCTGAAAAGAATTGAACAAGTTACAAGTTTCTAGATATTTTTTCTCCTTTTTTTGAGAGATGAAGGTCTGTCGTTTTGTAAACAGGAATTTTGGGTTCTTAATCACAGATTTTTTTTTTTTTTTGAGACAGAGTCTCACTGTGTAGTCCAGGCTGGACTTGAACTTATCGTGATCCTCCTGCCTCAGCCTCCCTATTGGGGATTACAGGCATGCACCACCACACCCAGCCACAGATGATTTCTTAATACCCTGTTCCTCAATCCTAACTGCGTTGTATTCCTTTTTGTTTTCTAAATTATTTATTTATTTATTTATTGGTACCTGTGATCGAACTCCAGTCCTTGCGCTTGTGATGCAAGCGGTGGTACCACTGAGCTAAATCCCCGGCTGTATTCCCTTTTTTTTTTGTATTCCTTTTTGATACTGGTTGTGTGAGCCATAATAGAAATTATGCCAATTATGTTTTTTGATTTTTAAAAGAAATGACTGACAGTCTGAAATTCCTTTATTATTTTGTGTGACAAAGGCAGATTGTTAAAACATTTTAATATTAGACATAATTGTAAGTGCTGTGCTCCATTGAGTGGAAAGAAGAGGAAGAGGAGAGACAAGGGTGAGAAGAAGTGGTAGTGGCTGCTGAAGGTGTGTATATATGGTGGATCTTTTCTGGACAGAATCATTTCAGTTACCTTTTGGGTCATTGACCTAATAGAACTTACTGTAATTTTTATCTCCTCTCAAAATTCCATGCAGATTGCTCTAGTCAGCTTCCCTTGTGATAAATCAAGGATTATAATTTTGGTTGACCTCAAGGCTTTGCAAAAGAAATTGGAGGTGATAGTTTTGTTTGTTTGTTTTTAAATTCAGGACCTTTGTCAGATCAACTCAGTGGGCTTCCATGTGACGTAGAGTAGCACGTTACCTTCATTCTCCCCATAGTAGTGTTATAGTTTTGGTAAGAGTGAATTAAAGAGTAGGCAGAGGGAGGGCTGGGGATTTAGCTTAGTGGTGCCACCACCTGCCTTGCAAGTGCAAGGTCCGGAGTTCGATCCCCAGGACCAAAAAAAAAAAAAAAAAAAAAAAAAAGAGTAGGCAAGAGGGAGAAAATGCTTTATTTGGAAGGGGTAGTAATGGTGGAACAGTCAGACAATCAGGATTGCCTGGAAGAAGTTTGATGGAGGGCTGGGGATTTAGCTCAGTGGTTCTGTCCCCTGCCTGGAAAACACAAGGTCCCGAGTTCGATCCCCGGTACCAAAAAAAAAAAAAAAGAAGTTTGATGGGGAAATAGAAATATTTTTGAATAATATAGCTTGCTATGTCATTTACTCATCCTTTTTCACAAAGGACAGAACTGTGTCTTTTTTTTTTTTTTTAGTCTTAGGGATTGAACTCAGGACCTTGCAAGGCAGGTAGCAGCACCACTGAGCTAAATCTCTGGCCCAGAACTGTGTCTTTTAACAGATTGATATTTTGCTACAAAATCACCTTTTCCTTTTTCTCTTTTGTTTTTTGGCTGAGTGGAGTGCTGGGGATAGAACCCAGGGCTCTCAGGCATGTATACCTCCAGCCTCTAGAATCTAGAGTTAAAATATTTTTTTTAATTTTTGGTTTTTTTGAGACAGGATTTTGCTATGTAATTCAGGCTGGCCTCAACTTGTGGCAGTCCTCCTGCCTCAGCCTCCTGAGTGCTGAGACTACAGGCGTTTGCCACCATATCCCTAGAATCAGTTTTTGATTCATTGATAGAAAAGCATGATAAGGACTTCGGGTCACTGTGTGTTAGAAAATAAAAACAAATTTTCATTGCAATTGCAGTGACAGGAAAAGATTTGTGTGCCGATTGTCCTAGTCAAAGGAGCAAATTCATTATTCATTAGAATAATTTTACCAAAATATAAATTCCCAATTAATCCCCTTCATTCCTTCAAATAGAAACTGTTGAATGATTCCTGTCTGCTGGGTACAAAGAATAGTAAATATTCTTCCCTTGGAGACTGTTAATAGTCGAATGGAGAACTGTAGGTGTATGATTGACATGGAGGAGATTTAGGTAGAAAATTTTATGTGAGCATTGAAAGTGTGTATCTAAATCAATTTATAAACATAGGAATGATTTCCTTGGGAAATACCCTGATTTGATTTATATCATATTCTGAGGTATGAAGGGGTACAAAGAATGACTGGATCTTGATTATTCCGTTTGTCTGGAAGTAAAGAATGATAATAATGGAGATGGAGTTTAGAGATATTGGCAGGAATTAACTGTGTAAGCCAATTTGAATGTTTTCCTGTAAATCATAGAGACCTGTTAAGTAATTTTTGGCAAGGAGGCAGCCTGGTCAGTTTTAGAAAGTTTAGTGTCAAGCTCCAGTTTGGCAGTGGCGACTTGTGAAGATGTTGACACAGTTATGTGTCAGTGAGAGAAATGATTAGAACCTAAACTAAGGAAGTAAAAGTGGGAATGGAGAGAAAAGACTCTTGACATTTTAAGGATGTTGTGTAAAATTTAAAATTTGATGACCATATATTCAAGAGTTAAATGTATATATGTTGTATAAATCTGGAATAAAGGGAGCTAAAGCTTTGGGGGTGGGGGTGGGGTGGATGTAGCTGCCAAGGGAAGGTACGTAAACTGAAAGGTAGAAAGACTAGCTAGAATATAATGCTGGAGAAAACTTAAATACTAAGTGGAGAATAGTACAATCTGAGAAGAACAGAAGAACAGAAAGAAAACCACAATAGTGACCATGGAACCGAGAGAAGACTTTTAATAAGGAAACGGCAGTGTCAGCAAAGGGGTGAGATACAACGTTTTGAAAAACATGTAAAGACATAAGAATATGAAAGTTGAACAGGAATTCAAAATATGATTTCAGAAGAAACTAAGGAGTGGCATAGAGGTCAAATCTTTATCTCGATATTTTCACTTTGTAAGGCTCTATGAATCCCATCCCTGTTTTGAACAGTGAAGGAAATACCTCCCCTACACTGGTAAATGTTAGCTCCAATCCAGTGAAAATTGAATATAACAACAATGTTTTTGAGGCAGGGTCTCGCTTTGTGGCCTCAAACTCATGGCAGTCGAGTGCTGGGACTACAGGCATGCGCCACCATACCCCGCCTATAACAACAAATTTGATTCCTTGCTAAACTCTAAAAAACGGAAATCTAATCTGTATATGCTTTGGGGCATCTCTGAAAGGATCATTAAAAGTGAGTCAATACTGGGTTCCTACTACTCATTAAGCATGAATTTGTGTGATTTCCTAATTGACCTTCTTGAACTGTTTCAGCCCTGAAATTTCATTTTATTTTAACTTTTCCCCCTTTTTTTGTTCTCTTTGTTTTTGGTACTGAGGATTGAACGCAGGACCTTCCACTGCACTATATCCCCAGCCCTTTAAATTTTCTAAACTTTTGGGACAAGGTCTCCCTAAGTTGTTAAAGTTCACGAGCATGCGCTACCACAATTGGCTCAGTTCATATTTCTTTGAAAATATTACATTTTTATTTGTAATACTGAACCCAGAGCCTTGTACATGCTAGGCAATGGCTCTACTGTTGAACTACATCCCCAGTCTTTTTATTTTTTTAGTTTGAAATAGGTTCTTGGTCAGTTGCCCAGACTGGCCTAGAACTTGTAATTCTTCTGGCTCAGCCTCAAGTAACAGGGAATTAATTATAGGCATGTCATAGTTCTTAAAATTTTTATCGGTTTTATTGATACCCTCTTGGGTTGTCGTGCTCTAAAAATAATGCTTCTAAAAAGTCTTCTTTTCTACAGACTTGTTAACAGTTGTGAAAGCCAGGCTTATATAGGTTCTTGTAGATTTAATAAGTGGTTGCCTTAAATTATTTTAAGATTTTAAGATTGTCTGAATCCTCTTGACTTTCATAAAGTGGTATAATTTTTTTAAAAGTCCATGTTATTTATATAACAAAACTGGTTCAATTATAAGTCCCAAAGACATTTTTTTAGAAGTACGTTTTTCATAGTACTAGGAATCAACTCAGGACATGGCACTTGCCAGGCAGGCATGCTGCCACTGACCTA